TTATCGCTCTCCCGTTTTCTTTTCTTTGTCTCCTCAGACAACACCTTCACCTTCTTCCTTTTATTTGTCGCTTCAGCCATGACAACCACGTCTAACTCCGTTCACCTTCGTTCGGCTACGCTACTCTAAAGAGAGGTGGGGGATATGACGTATGCCATAAAGCAGCCAAATTTTGTAGTCTTTTTTGTAAGTATTAAGGTCTGATACCAAGCCTTAAAGTCAAGTTTGATACTTAAGTCTTATTTTTTATCACCAGAGACTGAAAGATTATCAGAGTAAAGCTGTCATTTGGTAAGTGTATGGCAATGAAGCTAAGGTAACTATCTGTCATCTCTAACTTTCTCTGTGATCAACAATGTTAAATGGCAATGTAGCCCAATACACAGCTGTAGTCATTAATCTGTACAATTATAACATAATTGTTGGGTGGCTTTCTTTCTGTCCCAATCCTCGCATGTTGGCTGTGCTGCAGTTTTGTTGTTTGCCAACTGAATAGACGATGTAGAAGAGACTCAGCTGTTTTCCTGTTGCTTAGGTTTTGACTATGGACAGAAGTCTCAACTGAAACAACCTCTAAACACTAGTGTCACACAAAAACAGTGTTTGAAAGATTAGACACTGTTGTGTAGAGTGAGTGTCATTTGTGAAAAAAAACATCATTTTACTGAGTGATCTGGTAGTCTCACACACGCATGCATACACACACACACAGCTGTGATGTTTGCCTTGCAGTGTACTGACAGTACTTTGGTGTTTTTGGCCAGTGGGTGTGAAGTGTGGCTGCAAGTGTTCACCTCAGTGCCAAACATCATTCTTCTTCTTCTTTCGGGACCAGCAAGAGCCAATCACTTCAACCACATCGGTATTCAGTCCTATGGCTCCCAGCGGAAGGCCAGTTTCCTTTGCACAGTTTAGTCAGACTAATGCGTTCACTGGTGTATTTTACTGTCAATAAACATAGAAATAGTCATGATCCTTGTGAGCAAAATGAGCTGTAATGCTTAGCTGCCTGTTGCTGTGGCGATATGAGTAATGTTTGCATGTGTGTTCAGAGACACATAGTAGTTGCTTGACATCCTCCCAGAATCACTCTTCATATGTGTTTACAGTCTATCTATAATTTTGTTAACCAGACTGTCTATATTGTAATTTCACTAGTTGGTCTATTCTGTACACACGACATCCATTACATGACTGGCCATCTCTTGCTCTCCCTGAGGCTTACTCCATTTTTTTTCCTGTTGAAGGTTTTTTTCCCCTTATCTGAAGTGAGGGTCTGAGGACAGTGGGTGTTGTATGCTACACAAACTGTAAAGTTGCCTGAGGCAAACTTGTGATCTGTGATATTGGGCTATATAAATAAAACTGACTTGACTTAGAGTTCTTCAGTGATGTAGCATTCTGAAGACAGGAAGAGGCTGGAAAGAATTGACTGTTGATGTATGGATGGGGATGTGATGGTGGAAGGAACTGGGGTGTTTCACTACAGACATCTTGTAAGTTTTTTGTTTACTTGTTGAATTGCACTGTTCTTTCTGTCAGAGAATCAATAAAAGACAAAAACATAAAATGTTGAGATTCCCCACCTGTTAGTAAATGTTAGCACAAAGACAACTGACTTGTCTAATATTTTATTTTAAAATGTGAACCAATCATCCAGGCATGAGTGTTCCTACGTTTTTACACACCAGGAAGTGATGTGTGTATTGATAACGTGTGAAAGTCATGAAAAGGTCTTGATATGTGTTTGAGCACTTACAGCATCTCACTTCATAGAAACAGGGACTATGTTCCCTTTGTCCTTTTACCCACATGATTTCAGTGGTGTAATGTTTCAAAGTAATTATACTTTGTTAGAGTGCTTGCGTAGTTTTTGGAGTATCTGTACTTTCCTTGAGTTTTTTACATTTCTGCCAACCTTCACTTTTAATCCACAAAATTTCCAAAACAAAATATATACTTTTACTTCAAAGAATTCCCCTAAAAATTTTACTTACTATAAGATATGGGAAGGAAGGAGGGAGGAAGGGATGGACAGATGAATAAAAAAGTGGGAGGAAAGGAAAAACTGGATTTTGTTCTTTAAATGCTTTAAGTTGTGAAAAGACCTTGTTTTTCTTCAAGTGTAATTTTTACAGTGGTGTACATGTAAAGAAGAAATAAACTTCATAATTGTTTTTTTTATTAGCAGCATTTACTTGCACTTTTACTTAAAAATACTTAATTATATTTAATATTATAAATTAATTTTGATACTTAAGTACGGTAAATATCAGATACTTTAAGACTTTTATTCGAGTAATATTCTAATAGGTGTCTTCTACCTAAGTCTTTTTTTCTGGTAAGATATCTGTACTTTTATTCAAGTATGGCTTTCAGATTCCACATACAGAGTGTTAAAGATAGCAACTATTCCTGAAATCATACCTTGTAAAATAGATAATGGCTTCAGAAAATGGGCAGATAAAGGGCTAATTATCGTGAATCAGCTTTTCTGCAGGGAGCATTTAGAATCATATGAACATCTACAGAAAGAATTTGGCTTGTCTGGGATGGATTCCTTTAGATTTCATCAAATATGACACTACTAATCGACATACAGAGATTGGGGGCAAATATGTAAACTACATTTTAATTTTGAAAGGATCTTCCTGCTGACCATGGAGAGAGCGATAAAAAAACACTCTCAAAGCCTACTTATCCAGAGGACTTCAAGAGAATATAACAGGAAACACTATAAAAATGAAATGGGAAATTAGCCTAATATTACTATTACAGATTAAATGTGGGAAAAGGCGTGCCAGGAGGATCACAAGCTAACAAGTAGCCCTACCTGAAGGGAGTTTGAATGGAAAACCTAAATGAGAGTATTTAAGACTCCTCTTACGTTAGCGAGATACAGCAGCACATCTGAATTATGCTGGAGACAATATAAAAAACCTGGCAACCATACCCACATTTTTTGGGATTGCCCCACATTAGATAAATATTGCAGAGACATTCAGGCGAAGATTAAGCAAATCATGGGGCAGACTTACCTCTAGAGCCAGCATTCTTTATACTGGGAGAGACTCCAGAGGACACCAAAAAACATATATTTGTTTGGGGTGTTGCTGATGATCGCAAAGAAGATGATCACAGTATTGTGGAGAAATGTAAAGCCACCAACTGTCCAACAATGGAGGGAAAGATTGAAGAGTGTATATTTGATGTAAAGTATAAAGGCCAAACTCCAACTAAGGACTGATGTTTTCAACATTAGGTGGACACCAGTAATACTGCAGCTGCTGAGTTTGACCAATTCTGTCCACATATAATTACAGCCATATATACAGATGTGATTGTGATTGTGTATAAGTGCATGTTCCTGTCTCTACCCTCCAGAGTTTCCCAAGTGTCTTGTTAAACATACTTGGGTGCTTGTGTCTGTGTTGCTTCTGTGAACAGAGTATGACCAAGATTGGTTGATGTGAAGCTTACATTTTTTATGTGATACATCATGTTTGTTTGTTCACTGCTATATGATCAGAGTTAGAAATCAGCACCAGCCACCACCCAAATGCTAGTAAAATATGCATGTAGCTGCTAGATTTGCTTCACTCACCAGCCAAAAAAACAATGGTAGTCTACTGAGTGGCTGGTAGATTTTAGGGATGGGGGGGGGAAAATTGATGCAGCATCGTACTGTGATATTTTTGTGTGGCAACATCTTGTCATCTCACAGTGCCAAGTATCAATTTTTTGATTATGTAAATGATTAAAATCACAAATACAAATTAAATTGCTACAAAAAAATGGCTAAAGTGAGATAAAGAGACTGAAAACTTAAACTTATTGGATAAGACAGATGTTGACAAAGTTTTCCCGTAGGGACATAATTTACAGGGGGGTTTGCTGCATGTTGGAAATTTTATGTAACATTATTTCTACCCTTAAATCAATCTGAGGTTACTTCAGAATTTAACCCATACACAGTGAAACTTCAGTCCTATTTGAGTTCTGACCTTTGGAACTCTTTGCAGTGATGTTTCACTTCTTCAGAGAAACATTGTATAACCTTCACTAAACGGTATTTCAGCCTATGATGGGTAAACTCAAGGGTGATGTGTACCTTTATAGTTTTTGGGTGCTGACAGGCAAAGCAAAGATTATGTTTTAATGGAAATGTTACGATCATCACCATCAGCTCTGGATTTGAGGTTAGTACCTGCATCTTTTACTGAACCACTGAGTGATCGAACAGGGAGTTAGAGAGGTAGTCTGGTTGGGTTGGACATGAGTTATTATAGAGCATAAAATATGTAATTTTAGTTTTAAGATGCAGCTAGCCTTTAAGACCTGATGTAATGCTTTGCATCCATATGAGAGAAAGCTAAGCTCCGCCTCTGACTGGCCACTTTCACATTAAATAGTAAGACCGCAAATCAGCCAATGGAGCAAGTAAAGCTGTATAAAGAGACTGACCCAAAAGGAAAAAGTGTTAAACGTGTACAACAGTATTTATCTTTCTATTAAGTTAGACATTCCGGCTTCTTTATCACTATCAAAGCAGAAAGTCTGCGTGACACCCGACACCGAGCAGGAATGGCTGGAGCTGCCGAGGCCGAGAAAAATAGCCCAGGCTGGCTTCAAACTTCATTTCTACTCCGACACATAAACTCATCAACTACACCGGCTGTACAAAGCATGAGGGACTGTTCAGTCACACCGGCTTTATCCTCCAGTGAGTTGCACACAACAATGCAAAGTTCCGAGAGTTTCATTGCAACTACTGTGTTATTATATGCTCCCCTTGGGACATAAAAACCTCAACTTTCAGAGAAGGAATCACAGCTAGCGTTGTAGTTGGTCCCACTGCGAGGACCATTAGAGGAAAATGAAGCAACAGATACAACAGGAGTGCAGCGTGTTAACTACTGTGTTCTTATCATTTCTCCTCCCGGTGGCTCCTCAGCCCTTGTTCCCTAAGGATCCATGTTGTGAACAAAAAGTCAACGTACCGTCAACCGCCGACAGCAAGCAACTCCACAGCAGCAACACCACCACCAGCAGACCGCCCATTTCAAGTCCTCTCCGCGTTAAATCCATAACTCCCGCTCCATTTTCAGATAGCTACTCCTTGATTAAGTTGTAAAATTGTCCACTTTTCTGTGTGTGCATAAACACACATGGGCCAATGTTCCGTTGGACAGCTAGATGTGCGTCTGCATGCGTCTATGTGCGTTTCTCTGTGTGTCCCCCTCTGTCGACTATACTTTTTTTTTCCCCCTGTTAAGGCGCTCGTGCTACTTTATACTTTGGACTGTCGAGCTCGCGCACGGATAGAAAGGGCAGGCGGACGTGGTGTGACGTCATCCGACACGAGGCATCAAGATTTTTTTATTTCACTACTAATTAGTGAAATAAAAAAACCACAAATACAAAGACATGTCTGTGTATTGATATACACAAATGTAGCATAGTCTTTTGAGTAATAGTTGAGATGTTGCTTTAACCCTGTCATTGACGAGTTATGGCTATTTCAGTCAGTTTTAAGTGTTTTAAATCTTCTTTAGCATTAAAAAAATGAAGTTCGTTTTTTTAAATGTGCATTTTTCAAAAGATTTTTCACATGTCCACACACAGCATGTGTTTAAGTTTTCAATTGAAGAAACATGAACCAATGAATAAAATGATGTATTATGTGACAATATAGAAATATATTTTAAAGGCTGTTAAACTAGTGTATTCACCTATTTTAACATATTCTAATACTGTTATTGACAATGCAAAACAACCTTGCTCCCAACTCAACAAATCAGCCTCTCCTCTCTCTCTTTGTATTCCAGTTTTATATATATATATATATATACATACACATATGCTACCACAGTGACACTTATTCAGCTCTTTTTAGACTTTACAATGAACCTGGGTACAAATCCTAGTTATCTCAGATTAGTTATTTGTGGTGTCAGAGTCAAGTTTTTCAGAGCATAAATAGAGAAATGTTGAGCTTTCCAAATGTTGAGCAGTAAGTGTGTGCTTGTAAATCACCCCTTAAACCTGTCAAACACTGCTGGAGAAATGCAGGTTTCTCAGCGTGCAAAACTTATTTGTAGTTGTTGAAAAATATTGTCTCAGTGAAATTTTCATACAACCTGTCACCTTGATTCTAATTTCTGATACATGAATAAGCCTCACTGAATTAGTTTGTAAAAATAAATAAAAAACATATAGAAAACATAATGACTAAAAGTTGACCAAAATATCATGAATATTTTTTGACAAAATATATTTTTTTAATTTTATGTTTTGAAGAATAAAAATTACTAAAATGTGACTAATAAGCATTTTCTTCCCAAGACTTAGACTAAATCTAAAATAGCTTTATTAATTAACACTGAAATGGAGAATATGCAGTATAAAGGGAAGTGAAAATCCCTGACTTGACGGGCTTACCAACAGGGCAAAGTGAGCACTGTGTGGCAATTAGTTTGTGGTAATTTATTTAGTTTTTGATAATTCAAATTTGTTTGTTAATGCAATATGCACCACAAGCACTCTATAAACTGAAACAATAAAGGCCTTAAGGCAGGCTTGTGGTCCGTGGACCAATTCTAAATGGGCCCGGCTTGTCTTTTAGCCTGCACACAATATTGGTTAATCAAGCAAGATCCACTTACATTTTTTCCGTTTATCTCAAGATGTCTAGACTACCATACAGTTTGTAGAGGTGCACCAAGTAGGAACTGCACAGGTGAAACTAATGTGTTTTTATAAACAGACAATAAACAAGCAAACTAACAGACCTAGCAGCAGACAATTCATATAGGGAGAAGACAAGCCCACGGCAAAGAAGCGTAGAGTCAGCAGTGAGGTTTGCCACTTTTAGGAGCAATGTGAAGTTGAATACTTTTTCACTAAAAACAGTTGTGTTAGTCTCATTTGTTTGTAACTTTTTTTAATAACCCATATGATGTGAGAAGCAGTTGGCCCCTAGGTATTTTCACAAACTGGCCCTCATTCAAAAAGTTTGGACACTCCTGCCTTAAGGCAACATCTGCATTATTACCTAATCATAAAGCTTTGGCTTGCAGGGGGATCCTGAGTTTAAAAGTTTTATTACTTTCGTTAAATATCTTTCTTATTTGGGGCATATTACTAAGGGTTAACCCAACCATGTCAAGGGGAATCCATCTGTGAGTAACAATATTAAACAAAAGTCAGAATAAAAGCACAAACAAATAGGCCTACATTCAGTCAAAAATAGCTTGTTTAGTATCAAAGCAACAGACTTATAGAAGCAGGCTGATCAGGTTCATATCATTTGTTCCAAAGTCATTATTTAATATACTTCCTCCATAAGTTTTCATTAATTGCACTGAGTGAATGCAGTCTGTATTTTAGTCCCAGTTACTAAAACAGGTATCTTTAAAAGATAAATAGAACAGCATACAGTAAATGTGTCATTTTCAACAGGTACAGTTCAACTAAATGCATACTGGAGTGTTACATACCCAAGTCCAGTTCCAAGTGCATGGTTAACAGTAAAAAGCATATCAGAAATTTTCTTCAAATACATGACAAAAATAACCCAACATGTATTTGCATGTTTGCCTTCCTCAGGCTGTTCACACACAATGAACCTAAATGAATAATTCTGCACACCTGTTTAAAGTTGAACCCAGTATGTGCAAACACATAACACCAGGAATTGTTGTGACCAAGGTCAGAACAACATAGTGTGTGAACCACTAGAGGATTGTGCAGTAGCTCATGTGTGCTTTTGTGAAGTCTAGACTGCCCACATCACTTTTTGTGGTGTAAGTGTTGTATACTTTTTTTTTTTTTTAATTTCTACTGCCTAAACAGCAGGCAGGATAAAGTTGTTAAGCTTTCACAAACCCAGTGAACATTTTTCTATTGAAAAAATGTTTTAAAAACGTCTGTGGTTCCTGGTGGGAAAAAAAGGTAATTGTGAAAACATATCCAGAAAACCAGACCAGACGGTGATTGAGCGTTCACATCTAGACTATATGTCACCGGGATTTGCAATAGTGAGGTTTTTTTGTCCTCTACAGTGTGCAAATTATACCCTATCATCATTTTGGAGCCTAACTAAGAATTCACATCCAAATTTCTATGTTGAAAGTCAATATTGCAAATCCCAGTGAAATATGGTCTAACTGTAACTGTTCAAACTTTTTCAAATAGTCGTGAAAAAACTTTAACTTTTGAACCCATTCTTAATGTCTTTTCACCATCACTGTTTAAACGCCTTTTAAATATCAATATGCTCACTGTAATATTTTACTGTAAAAGTGGTTCTGGCTTTAGGATGACAACTATAGCAGCAAACAAGTTACAAACTTAGCCATACTAACACATTTAAAGCCTCCACTTAAAGGACAAAGAAGACCATGTGACACATGCTACAATACATTTGTATTTATTATGCAACAATTTAAATACAGCATGAAAATGCTCTTTAAATATAATTACAATGAAATAGAAAATGCATAATTGTTGCAGGATCCTTCTAGTTGTAGAAAGAAGTTTGATGTGGTGAAAACCTGTAAATAAAACAATAGTATTACAAAGAAATCTATTTTCACTGAGATAAGGGTCATTGTCCATCAAGGGTTTGATATATATTTTTGAGCATAACTGTAATTTCTGTAATTGCAGTATGTAATACATGTCAAGGATAAAACAAATTATATTACACAATGTTTGGATGTTGTTGTGTATATTATGTGTGTATGTTAAATAGCTTTGAATGGCATCTTCTGTGTTTATATTGTTAAATGTAATGTTGTCGTCTCCTGTCCTAACTTTCATAGTTGTTATGTCATGTAGGATGTATGTTTGTTTTTTGCTTTGTTTTTGTTTTTTGTCTTTTGTCCTGATGTGTGTTTGTTTTTATGATGTTGCAAATGGAGCTACTGAGATGCAAGACAAATTTCAGACCTGTTCTGACAATAAAGTATCAATCAATCAATCAACTCCCTTCCCCATCCAATCTGTATGTACCCTCTCACTTTATGTATTTTTGAGTATTTTTTAGTTAAACTGCCTAAAAATTCAATTTACATGCTACAGCGACAGTCCATAACACCAATCACATGAGCAAGCCAACATTACACACACATGGGGTGATGATAGACTGGCAGCATGTTTATGTTTACTGTTGGTCCACACCACAGCACGCTACAGGCTAGCATGCTAACACCAAGCTAGCTTGCCACAGCGGCAGCCTAGGCTGCACTGTGAACGTAAGAAACTAAAACTAATCATGCTGATTTCTGGTTTGCTTTATTAATACAGTAGCACAGGTACTTTCAAAGTATGTAGGTAGCATGAGGAATCACGTTTATTCGTCAGCTTCTTCACCTCGGCCCGAAGCTTTAACGGCCAAGTATTTGCGCATGTGCATTAATGCTGTAAACTCAAGTTCTTTTATTTTACATGAATGATGTAGAATGTACAGATCTGAAACTGAAAATGTCCTGAAAGCTTCTTGCTGGCAATACACAGACTATACAGTTACATATTTGTGACATGTTATATTAAACATTGAATATGTTGAAATGACGTCTTCGTGTAAACCACATTTCCAACACCAATGCAATGAGTTTGGCACATAGATGCTGTAACCGCATTTTAGCTGGTTGAAAATAGGGTGAAAATCAGTCCTAGGACCAAATGTCTCTCTGGTTTCAACTAGAAATCAACATGAAATCCTGGTTGGTGTTCACTGGGAAGGTTCAGTTTGGGACAGAGGGTCTCTAAGTGACACAGATCTATACCTTCCTATAGCTAACCATCATGTTGCAGCCTCAGCTGACAGAACAATTGTTGCTACTCAATGGAAACAGACGCCCTCCCTACTCATGATGCGTGGCATTTCTCTTTTTTGGACACATTTATTCCAGTAAATTCAGATGTTAGAACACACACTGCCAAACAGCGTAATATTAATCTGTTAGATAAAGCCAGAGAAAAGATCAGAGCTTTGATTATGCAGCTTGTGTTTATTCGAACCACCTGTAGATTTTGGAAGGTCGTCTTGTTTTGTGTGTGTTGAGTATTAACTGGCATCACACAGCAACCAGTTCAAACTGTTATGGTGTAAGGTTGCTGAAAATCCTAATTCACTTTTGTTAACTTATATAAGATAAGATAAACCAACCATAACATGTTGTGTGGTGTGCCTTGCAAATCTGTGGCCTTGTTATGTGGCAAGCCTGGAACTTCTGTTGTGCACACAGAGCTTTGGT